TATATAATTATAAATAAAGTAAAATAATTTTTTAAAAATTTGATTATATTTTCATCTTTTTAAATTTATACTTTAATGAGAAAGTTAATTGTAAAAATAAAAATATGAATAAAATGTAAAAGTAATTATAAATATCATAATAATGAGGAAGAAAAATTGGATTGGAAAAAAATATATAATTTAATTAAAGATTTACAAATGAATGCAAATATATTTTTAAAAAAAGAAGCAGAAAAATTTTTTTAAATTTAATAAAAAATAGTATCGGTAAAGTAAGATAATTGGCTGACGTGTACTTGTGTAGGTATTATGACGATCGCTACAGAGAGCGTGAACGAGACAGAGATCGAGAACGAGAATCGAGCCGAAGACCATCAGAGAGAGAACGAGAACCGGAACGTGAACGAGAACGAGAACGAGAAAGAGATCGTCGCGACGAACGTGGAGATTCTTCACATCGTTCGAGGCATTAAAAGTGATTGTACGCTAAAGAAAAAAGAATTTTCTTTAAAAATCAAATATAATAGAGGATACAGTGAGAGTAAAAAACGAGAAAGGGAAAGAAAATGATGAAGATGGTTTTGTTCTAGTAAGCAAAGTTCGTGGGATCTCATCGTTGATTTTCTTACAAGTTTCATCGAAAAATAGACACAAGAGGATATATATATGCCCGTTTATCTCTTGAAAACACATGTTTATCTTTTATATTTTGTCTGAATATTCATATAATATCTAGACACTTTCTCGACCACTTAAGAATATAATTTGGTTTTAGAATGACAATGAAATACGATAATTACAAAAATTGATTAAAATTTTTTTCTATCTCGATTCCATTTATATCTTATGATGAGCAATTGAGAATATTTTTTATCAGAATGCAAGAGATTTAATTTTTGTAGTAGAAAATAATTGTCTTGTGATTATTTATTTTACATGATGAATTTCTTTGCCTTTGTCAGAGGTTTCTATTTCATGTATATTTAATATCATATATACAATATATATACATATATATTAAAAGTATTCGTACTTTCATCTATATAATTTTAATGTTTGCATTAGAGATTTCTGTTTCACGTATATTTAAATATACGAGTACATATATATCAAATATTATTAATGATGGTTTTGAGATAGACGACATAGTTTTGAATATACATATATGTAATGTGCATTAGAGAATTAAACTTCGTTTTTGATTCTTTCATTCTTACAGTATTTGATGACTAATAATATTTTTATTGATTAATGATAATTGGATAATTATATATATCGTAATGATTCTATAAAACCATAAATCTATTTTTAGATGTACTTAGATGTATTTATTCATAATGTGAAACATCTAAAAATAGAAAATTTCGGTCTGGAAAGTGTCGGAATCAATTAATATTTGGATACATATTTTATAAGCCTCTGTGTAAACTTCCGGCAGATTTATCAGTCATGAACATTCTAGCCAAGTTACCAAGGGATTTTCACGGGGAATCTTAATCTAGTAATGTTATCTGGGAGATTATAGAGATTTTTGTCACGTATAATTTTTTTTTCAAATCACAAATGTTTTTTCCTTTCTTTTCTCTTTTTACGCAGCGTATAACGACTATATTATTAAATATCATTACGCTACAGTGAAACTTCCGTATTTGCAGCCGATCGCGATCTGAAAAGATTAATGGAAAATTTAATTCCATCCAAATTTCGTTAATCATATCGAATCAGCGTTCGAATCTGCATTGTATTTTTTGAAAGCATATCGATTTTTCACTGTAAAAAAATTTTACTTTATCTAACAATGGCTCCAAAGAAAAAAATGTAGTAATGCTAGTGAGGTTATTCGGGTCGTAAACTGCTTTAAATGAATGAATAGTGTTGCCACTATTGATAATTTCAATTATGCAGAATCTTGGAACTTATCCCCGTGAATACGGGATTTTACTGTAATTACTGAAAAAAATAATTGGAAAAAATAATGAAGTAAACAAAAAGCATACATTATATATGCATATATACATATATATCTATGTAATATTTAAGCAGAGAAAATTTGTTTTGAAATAGAGAGAGAGAGAGAGAGAAAGAGAGGGGAAGAGAGAGTATGTGTTGTCGAAAAATAACAAAAAAAAAATAATTATAATAATAACAAATTAACAAAAAGAAGTGACGAAAGCACAACGAAAATTATGTTTCATGGAGAGTCGTGTTTAGTTGCGGTTTACAGAAAAGCTGAAGAAAAGGCCCTACATCTCCTGATGAACTAAATTGATGCTGGCAGCCTCGAGGAAGAAAGAAGATTACATTCTGGAGTCTCGTCATCGATCTTCTAGCTCCACGACGATGCAAGATTGTATCTTAACTATAATACATATATACGCTTTCAAAAAAAAATATATGTGATAAACATGTCTTTACTTTATTCATCAGTACACACTATCTTCCTGATAAATATGTTATTTTTGTTTTATATGCTATTGCATTATTCCAATTATTAATCGAAAGGTGGAACCGATTGAAAAAAGAATTCGATTAAACACTTTCGATCTTGCTAATTAATTTATTTCTGTAAATGGTCTTGGTGTTCAACAGCAAGGGTCGAAAGTGTATGATGAATTGAAACATAAAATTTTACATGTAAAATGAATAATGATTATGTTCCCCGTTTTGTTCCATAATATATACTAGTCCCATCTGTGAAATTGAAAATATTAATATCAGAATTATATATTTATCTTTTAATAGTTGAGATTTTAAAAATTAATTTATCAAAAGTATTCAAGCTTGTGTATATAATATCTAATAATATTTAATAAGCAAAAAAAAAGATACATCATTGGACAAAATTATAGTAATTTTATAATAATAAGCTCTTTGTGATAAATAGAAGTATTTTTTGTAATACTCAATAAATATTATATTTAAGCAATATTCGTTATTTAAAAGACAAAATATTAAAAAATATTCTAATATATTGCTATAATTTTGTCCATTAATTATTAATTGTAAATAAATACTAAGATTATAGATATTCTAAAGTTAACAACTTGGATAATTTTGAGAAATTAATTTTTAATTACAGTGTTATTTTATTTTTCATATTTAGTTGAAATATTAAAAAACGCACAGAATATTGTGAAAGCGCAACACAATCACGGAATGACTTTGTTTGAATCATCATAAATGTTCCTGCATATTTGCAAAAGCAAAAAAAGATTTTCTTCTTTGTACGCTTTTAAGCGTATATTCTAATCTTCGTGTGATCAAGGTTCATGAAATTAAGATTTTATGAAAAATTCCATTAGTTTTCTATGTTATAAAATATAGAATTAAATGTACATAAAAAAATATCATGATAATGGTATTGTATTAAATGTGACAATGCATATTTTAAAAATATGTAATCTAATATAATATAGTAATATACTATAATAATTTCTATTCTTGATTATACAAGAATTGAAATTAGAAAATTTAGTATTTTTGCAATAGGAAAAACTCTTTCATGTTTTAGATGGTGAAAAATCAATGCTATTATATTTTTCTAATATGATGTTCTAAGATTTAATATCTCTTTTTCTTATATATTTAATCTTTATTTTTCTGAATTTCATAAATTTAAAAGAATATATTATTTTTTAATTTATTTTTTTAGTTAAATATTATATAAATTATTTTTTAAATAACGTATTATCCATTCATCGAAATTAGATATAAAGCAAATATAAAAGTTGTAAAGAAATATTGCAATCACTTCTTGTGCATGAAAGAGTTAAGAATAATTTTAAAAAAATTACATGAATATTATATATTTAATCTTCGCAAGGAAGGAAATATTAAAAATAAACAAAAATAGCGTGAACGGTTCACCTTTCGAAGATATTTTTCTTTATCAGATATCAAAATAAATGGTAATACACATAATAATTGTTCTGTGAGTTCCAGTTGTACATATTAATTTTTATTGTATATCGCATAGTTATTCATTGCTCCAGCTGAACTCTTTGTGGCTCACATTAATCTATAATAATAA